GCAGCTACAGGGGGAAAAGTCAGGAATCATTTCAGACCTATGCCAGTTTTAATCATCCTTCATTAATCTGCTTCATATCTGTGAGAAGATACGGGTCTTGTATTTCATTTGAGCCGGTGCCTGTCATAGAAATCACTGGAGTTACTGAAGGTTTCCTGCAGTTAATTTACTGATTTTCTCTCTAAAACTGGCTACAGTATGTACATATCAGATTTATTCTTCTGATTTTTTAAATCATTGGAACACTGTTAGTGAAGTTTCTCTACATTAAATGTTGAATTCAATCAAGAATTAACCTTATAATTTGACTCAACTGCAGATCACACATGCAAATATCTCATTCTAAATATATTACATACATACTTAAGCATCAATTTCAGGAGAAATCTGCTACCTATTCAGTTTAAGTTGCCATTTTTGTGATCTCAGAACATGACTACACTGACATGTATATGACCTGTCACCCATAGTGAAAACTCACTTTATTCCATATGGCTGAAGTGTTTAAAATGACTACAGACAAAAATAGATTCAGGACCAGTGAATGAATTGTATCTGCTAATTAGACAGGTCAGTTTAAAATGCATGCACATGTATATGATGGCACTCATTTTGTATAAGTATCTCAAGTAGGATTATCCATATTATACTGAGTTTGTGTGGCTCTGTTTTTTCTTTTTACAGTATGTTGCCCTTTGTTGTAAATTAATCAGACTTGGGTAGAAAATCAACATCTTAATTAATATCAAGTCCTTGTTTTTATTACCTCTGACAATTAATTATGAAATTGAAAGGAGGAAATACTAAATCACAGACTCAACAGGAAATGTTTTCAATTTAATATCTATATTTGGTGATGGATTGTCCTTTGTGCTGGCACACAGTGCCCAGTGAGTAACCCTGACTGAACACTTTTTCTATGACAGTGGAAAGCAGAAAGTCATGAAATGACAGTGAGTTCTAGGTCCGGTGCCCCAAATGATCATGGCTTCCTAGAGTACTCAAACATCCCTGCTTCCCTAGAGCTGAAGCAGGAAATAACATGGCGTCCTCTGACAAAAATAAATAAACATCGCAAACATAAAATACACCAAATATATTGTAAATGTATTCAGTGGTCGGATTTTTAGAGACATCTAAGCTTAACTGTGAGTAGAAATATGAAACAACTGTTCTATTTTTCAGGCGTATATGAACCATTAGTACATAGTTGTGGTCTTATCATCTTAGACTGATGAATAATATGACTGTGACTGTACATGTTTGGATTGAATGACGGTGTAATCTTGGCCTACCCTTCTAGGTGAACATTCATGTCTAATAATTAATGTTATTCATTGTTCCCTTGCTCCTTTATTTGATATTTAAGGTGCTGCTCATTTATATTTCAGCAGCCTTTTGTTTGTTTGACTCTTATTTTATGGGATCTATACATTTTGGAGTGAGTTTCTGGACACGTGGCAGGTTAGAGAGGAGCAGGGGAACATTATCCACTGAGCTGAGTAGTGAGTGCTATTTTATGATTGTATGTTGTCCTAATGAAAACAAGCTGTAGTAGAGGTTCATATTGTTTGCTAACATTCCTTCCATACCTGGTTAGTATTTAAATGCATTCATGTACAAAAGCTACAAATCTACCTTGTGTCGGTATCTGGTAGCTTCCCCTCTGTGTGTGAGTATGTGTGTGTTAGGGGGCTACCTCGATCTGCACTAGAAGATGCCTCACTCGTGCTGTCCACTTTGACTATGAGGTGCAGGGTAGCTGCTCAGTCATACTGTACCTCTGTTGTACAGGAAATGTACAAAAGGTGAAGGAGTGCTGTTATACAGGAGGATGCAACAGAACCCATGCATGTAAAACAAACTATACACTTTATCTCATCTTCCAATAGGTGTTAGACTGTCATGTATGTATGTATGTAAATATAATGAGGACACACACCCCCTTTTTTTCAGAAATATGTAACTTCAAATGACAATATTCAGGTTGCTCTATGGTATCTATCACTACACATTTTGCACCCTGGAAATCAAAAAAATGAAAAACAAACACACACACGTGCAGTCTCTGAACTCCTGGATCCAGCTCTCCTGTTTGGGCTTTACTGGACACTCCTTCATCTGGACAGAGAGCTGGTGAATGCAGAGCTCTGTGTGCGGGCCCACACAGTCTGTCCTGAGAACCACTGCTGAGTGTAGGTACCTGTGTGTGTGTGTGTGTGTGTGTGTGTGTGTGTGTGTGTGTGTGTGTGTGTGTGTGTGTGTGTGTGTGCTGTAGGTGCAGGTGGCCAGTCAGGAAGCTTCGCCGGATCCTAAGACATTTGACCTCTGTCCTATGTACAGGTCTGAACTATGAGCACAAAAGTGAATTTTGGGACAAGAGACACTGCTGATGTGCCCCCTTTTCTGTGGTTGCTCCTGTACATTCCTCTCTTCTGAATGTGTAAACCTGTACACGTGATGTGAAAATTCCTCTAGTAATATGTATCAAGAGAATGGAACAAAGACAAAAATGTTACTTTTTAAATTATTATTATCATTATTATTATTACTCTTATTATTCCCTAGCTTTGTAAAACTGCTGATCCCTCTGGCATACCTCAGCAGGCCTTTCCCCCATCTCTGAAAAAGGACAAGTGAGTGACGGGGAAATGAGGTTTTGGATAAACTATTTTTAATTGTGGTTGAAGCAATAGACTTTTGAACTTTGAATTGTGCATGGCTGTGTCTTGAGTGTAAAAAATATTGCAGTTTGGGAACTGGACTGAAATAAAAAGAGGAAGAAAACCAGAGGTGTGACCATTCGTATAGGTAATTGCTATTCCAAGGTGAAATTTCTTGAATTTAGAAGGAAAAGAAATCAATGTCACATGAATTATGTGTTATCATAATGGTAAGGTAAGACTTCAAGATCCCCTTAACTCAAAAATATGTTTGTTTTTTTATGTTTATATGCCATAAAATGTCACACTTAGCGGTAGTAGACACACTGGAATATCAACAGCAATGCCGTGGGTACATTTGCATATATTTGAATATTCATACACCCTGGAATTTACAATGAGGGGCAAATGTCGACACCTATTACAGAAATTTACTGAACTTTGAGGAAAAACTGTATGCAAATATAAATATTTAAATGTCTGGAGTGGAACTTTAAATGACGAGTTACTGCTTTATTAATCACAGTATTTATGGTTTAACAGGTTAAAAAGGAATATTTTGTTCAAGCAACTTGCAAAGCATCAGTATAAAATCATTAAACAGATTAAGCATCTTGTAAATAAGTAACAGGCAGTGACATCCAGCCTGTCTATGTGTGTCCTGTTTAGCTCCTGCACGTAAGTCACCAGCATGTCAATAACTGTAAAATTCTGCTCAGTGTATTTTCATAGAAGCATACAGTGGTGGAAAACAGGCTGTTCTGTTACTAGCCTTGGAATTAAATACAGTAGATCACTGGTGGGGTCACATTTCGGTCAGCTGAGTCGAAGTTATGATCCTCAAAGTGATGCTGCCGGGCATCATTTCATTCTTGCTGCCTTGTTTCCTCAGCTGAAGCCTCTGGGGCTGACTGTTGTCATTCACTGAGCCAGACAACACCACCTGGCCCATAAACTCGTCCTTCACTGCATTACTGTTCCAAACCTGAGGAAGGATTATACCACAATACATCTTTAGGACCTTTACACAGTACTGGTGACTCTGATTTGATTAAGTCACTTCAGGTAGAGATGGTGTCTTCTGCTGTAAAAGCTGCCATAACATCTCTCAGTTATACAGTACAGTAGTTTTATGTGAGCGTTTCTCATTCATAAACTTGGTTTTCCCATGCATGACCAACAAAACCTGAATAAGCACAATAAAGTTCATCTCTTCAATATAGACAAATAAATGAAAAACAAGATTCACATTTAATAAACATAACAGTTTTCATGACTAACATTTTCAGGTAAATTGAGGTTTATGAACTTTCACAGGTTCTGAAAATTCTCATTCTCATTCTTATATTGCTGAAATGGTTTAAAAACACTGATTTATTGAAAATGCATCGTCCTTAAGCTTTATGCAGGTCCATTTTCAATGTGAGTAACTGTAGGCATCGAGACCAGACAGCTGCCATCTTACCTCCACAGTTATGGGCTTTCTGGGCTTCTTCCTATAGAAAATGGCGCTGGTTGTAAACTCTGGATGCAAGGTGTCCTTCTTGATGGTGGATTGCACTGACTTGCCTTCACAGTATATGATCACATACGGGTCTGCACCTGCATAAGCATGTGTAAATTTCAGTCACAGTAAACTCCAGTTCTGCTTTTACTCATCTTTTAACAGTCAGAATCTTTTAGTAGCATTTCCTGTGTACAAATCTTTATTTAGTTTTGTATTTCATCACATAATTAAGGACTTGTTGCACAACAACACGCCCTGATGTGTTTTAAAGCAGCTTTGAAGAACCACAGACCTTCAGGGTCATGTCAAATCACAAATAATCTAATCTTGATAACTTGGCTATTCACATACAAAGAACAGCACACAGGGGTAAAGTGAAGCTTTTGCAAAGTCCTCTAACCTCCTGTACTGTCCTGGTTCTGCAGCCCCTCAGCTCCCTGGATGTAGATGTGAGTCACAGCTTGTGGGTACCCAAGGAATGAACTCCAGCATTTCACCTTTGGCTTATCATCTGTCAGCTCCCTGTGAGAGCAGAGGAGAGTAAAAGGACCAAAACTCTGACCTAGATTTTTTGCACCAGCAAAGTAAAAGCCTGGAGATTACATCATGAATAGATTCACGACAACACTGTCGAACTAGTCAGCTGCATGTGAGTGAACATGATTTGCTTCTGTGATAAAGTTTGCAACAAGAATGTTAGGTACAGAACAAAATCTGGCAAAACAAAATCTTTGGCCAAGAAAAGCACTGGGAGAGTGAAATTAAATAAAGCCATGTGAACGGACCATCAACGGCCATTTTGGGTAAATTTGTCTGCTTTTCCTGGGTATTATTCAGCGATCAGTGTTTGTACTGAACAAAAAACACTTCTGAAAGTAAAACATGAAGAAAGCATTTCTGCCTGACAGCATTACAGGTTTGCTGCTAACTTACACTGACGTACCTGCAGCCGGAGTCCACATCAGTGAAAACTCGAATCATGTAATCTCCCAGCATCTGAGGCCTGTAGGTGGTGGGAATGATGAGGTAGCGTCCCTGTGGCAGCTTGATTCTGAAGAACACTGTCCGAGCGTTGATGTAGGTGGTCGATCCCACACAGTTTTGGGTCAGAATGTCATGCATCCGATATTTTCTGTTCAGTTCCACCTGAAAAACAACAACCAGGACTTAGGATTAGTGGTCACTCAAAAATCAGTGAACAAATCTTTGACTTCACTCATCAGGCTTAGAGTCTAACATGCAGTTTTACATGTGCATGGTGCTCTATCCTGATTACGTGCCTGTCAATGTAAACATCTTACATTGGTTTTGAAAACTCAGATCTGCTGCAGTAGCTGGAGTAGACCTGAAGAAACCAGGACATTGTGGCTGGTTAAAAAAACCTGAGAAATAACTAATGAATAAAAGGATAAAAGAATTTCATAAGGTTTAATTAAAATCAAATGTATGCATGCCACTCTCCCATAGTCCCTTATCAACTCTAAGACTGGAGGGCTGCATTAAGCTTCAATATGTCACTGACACATACGGTATTTTCAGTTTTGAAAATTGCGATTTTAATAAACCTACCAGTTGTGAGTAAAAGTCTTCTTTCTATGGAGGCCACAGAAAAATACAGTATAAAGTAGTAAGTGACAACATACAGCTGAGAATGTGGACACAGTATCTGGAGTCCATCACATAAAGGAAGAGGATATATCACTGGTATAATCACCAGACTGTAGATAACAAGGGTCAAATCCAGGTTAGGGTTTTAGTTCAACAAGCTGTGTGCACACAGCCACTGCTGCTGCTGCTTCTTCTTTTTTAATCACAGGCTTTACACCTTGTGGCACCAACATCTATTACTGTCCAGAACTACTTGCCCCTTTGGCAGCACTTCTGTCAGCATGATAAGAGTGTACGGTGTGTTTGAACTTAGCCATATCTCTGACAGGTTAATCATATTACAGGAGATGTGCTGTCAGTTTTGCTTCCTACGGTTACATTTAAACATGACTATCTAATCCCACTGTGTAAGATTAAATGTAGTTTGGTGGGTGTGACAGCTGCTTTAAAAGAGAGTCACATAACATGAGAACTGAAAGGGCTTTGTAATATAATAATTAATAAAAACCTCTATTGCAGCATATTACTGAGTTAATTCATTTTTATGAATGTGGCTCTCTAACTCCACGGTTCAAGACAACATGCTATGGTGGTTCCACATATGGCTACCAGTAGCTGCCAAATTTACCCATGAGGTTTGTATAACAGCTCCACAAGCGTGGTACTACAACACAGACCCCTGAACAGACTACACTCTACTGAGAGTTTAGAGGAAGTATTCACCAGCTGGAAACAATCACCTGAAGTATGTGCATTCTTCACGTACGCTTTAGCCACTTGCTGAAAGAGTCTGTTTTGGTTCTGATAAGTATGTTTGCCTATGAGTAATAGCCCTTCATAATTCTTGCCTTTTGCCTAACAAACCTTTTAAAAGTCATACAAAACTAAAGGGTCTGGCCAAAAGAAAAGGCGAAATATGACGGAATGACACAGTTTCCCCCAAAATAAACTTAAATTGAACCTAAGTCCTCATCTGAGACAAACAGCAGTTCTTCTGTAATAAGCTCCACTGTAGTCAGCCTCACCCTGATCTGTGCGCAGTGTTTCACAAACTCTTCTAGATCAATCATTAACCAATCATCAGATCAACAAAGCATAGAAGAGGTATGGCAGAAGGGTTATTCTAGATGTTACCCTGAAGATGCTGAGGCCAATGGTTAGATTTTCTCCTTGTCCAGTTTTTCTATGGATCTTCATGTCTCTCTGTTGCAAGGAAATCATGACTTCATCGTCCTCTTTTGTAAGATCAAACAAATACTGTAGGAGAAGTTGAACAGTAGTGAATATACATGTGCATGAATGTACAGTAAATAATGTGAGAAGGGAGTCCATCCTGTGTCTGCAGTACCTGTGGGTTCTGCAGGAATGTCTGCTTGTGGTTAGCGCAGCCACCGCACCGGTTTAAAAGTGGGTCTGTATTTTTGGTCCAACTCCCAAAGTGCACAACTTCATTCCATGTCTTATGGACACTGATCAGTGAGGTATTGATAAGACGGCACACATCTGCACTTGTGAAGAACTTGCACCAGTCTGTGAATGACATCCTGTGGATGCAAACAGAACTTGGATTATTACACTGTGAATGAGGTTATCAGCTCCTACTGGTGGACTGTCGGAATCGGATGGACTTATTGACGTACCAGAACTCTCCATCATCCTCCACTACGATGCCAAGGTTGGCTCTCTCCTTATTACCAACCTTTGACCATTCTTCAGAGCTGACAAGCAACAAGTGCAGCAGATGGTTAATTACAGTTTTTCTCAGTTGCTTTTGTACATTTCTTGAATCAGAAATGAAATTTTTGAAACTACTTGTCCACCCTCCACATAATTTATTATTATTCTGTGTTAATCCAGAAAAAATCCACCTTCTGAGTTATAAAATGTGGCTATAAACATTTGTATTTTGCTTTTTCACAGAGGAGATACCAGGTTAGACAACACTTACACTGGATTTTTAAAATGATAAGGTTTCACACCAGAATCAAGACGTACTACTCCTAAGCAATATCCACATCTCAGTTGTTTATCCATATACCCAGTATGAAGTCAGTAGTTATTATTGTGATCAAAATATGCCACACTCCTTCCATCTCACGTCTTTACCTTGTGAGTTCCTTCCACTGGTCAGAGCCATATAGTATGTCTGCAAAAAGCTGACTTTTGGACCGTACTGAGTATACAGCTGGGCCGTAGATTGGCATGGATGATGACACAGGAGAGGCGTAAGAGGTTTCTTTAGATTTTTATTTTTATTTTTTTGCTTGGTGGTAACTATTGAAATCCACTACAAATGTAAGCTCATCACATACACTGTTTTCCAAAACTAAGCACAATTTACATTCTTCATTTAAATCTACAGGCTGAAAGTGTGAGTAGTGAAAGAACTTTAACCACTTCTCACCTGTCACTCCAGGCTCCCTTCCACTCAATCGTGCCCCAGGGGTTCCTCATGCGGATCAGAGGGATGGTTTCATTTTTGAAGAAGGCCAGCAGCCCGTGACCCAAACGTACCTTCTTCACTGCCGTTACTGAATACGCATGGCCTTTCACCAGCCCGTTTGCCATCTTGGCTTCCAATTCATGAGGCTCTGCCTGGTTAAATTATAAAAGCAAGTAGTCTACAAGAGTTTCTCTTACAGTAAGTACACAGCACAGGAAGTAAACATCCAGAAACAGCACAAACCATAATGGAGCAGCTTATTATTCCTCCACGGTCAAAGACCTTTTGTAGATCCTCAAACAGCTGATCTTGTTTTTTCTGGTCTTTGTAGTAAGCATCTGTCTCCAGGTCAATGGTTTCAGCCACAGCTCCACTGAAATCCACCACAGCATCTGCAGTATTTCCCCCATCCAGAGACTCATAGCAGCCAGACAGCCTGTACACAGAGGGAGATGGGCAATCACAACTTTAGGAAAAATGTCTGTTTCAGCACAAAGAATGCTATGGTTTAAGTTTACTGACTTGGCATAAGCCTTCTCTAGCAGAGCGCTCCAAAATTCATTTGTGGATTTCGAGTGACAGTAGATGAGCTTTCCATTGATTGTAGGCAGCCGGTCATCCACCACCACATCCACCCACTCTCCAAACACCCAGAACTGAAAGTGGAAGATTCCAGCATAGTTTTCTGGGTGTTTTGGATCCAACTCCTGCTCCTTCCAGTCAGGAATTACCTGGAGACACACACACAGCGCAATACATAAGCCTTATTACTACTTAGTAACTAACAGAAAATCCACCAACCACTCAACTCACAGAGCGGAACGAATCAAATTCACTCACCTTCTTCCAGAGGTTTGGCTTCAGAGCCAGAGAGGCACAGGCAGCAACAAACCAGCAGTTTCCCACAACTCCCTGGTTCAGGTCACGGGAGCTGATGCCCTCCACAAACAGATGGGGCTCACTGCACATCTCCTGCAACAGAAAGGTTCACATGATGAACTTTACACTCTTTATTCCCAAAGAGTATGTAAGTAGTTTTTGCTAGCCCCATCATAATAGGCATGCTATGTGTTTGTCGCTGATCATCATAGTAATGAGGAGTGATCTCTGTACTAAAAAGCAGATTTCTCCTCTACACTGAATGTGTCAAACACAGCTGCACCCACATGCCACCTCATATAGTAAAACTGGACTATGCTCATTTGCAGAAATAATAGCAATCTGTGATGTATGTTAGTGATGGACCACAGCCATCGCTGTCACTCACCCCTGGTCGCTTCCACTCCACCCTTCCCGGAGGGGGGTTCTTATAATATATGGATGCATTAGTGGCTGGAAACTCTGGGTCTTCAAACAGTGTCTTGTTCCTGATACAGTCCCTCTTCAGTGCAGCGTAGTGCTGGTTCTTGTAAGGGGTAGCAGAGGAGAACATGGTCCAGCTGCAGACAGACTGATGACAAGCATGAGAATCAGATATCTCAGACTTCATATGGTGTTCAGACACACTTTTTAATGGGTAGGTTCTCTGGACAGTCTAGGCTTACTGATGATCATAGGACGTTTGTATAGTTACAGTAGATACAAAATGTTACTTACAGCATTCTAACAACCAAACCTTTCAGTTTATAAGGATAAAACCCACAGATACATTTCTACAAACCTCTGACTGAAGCCAAAATTTGCTGTGAATGTATTTTTTTTATGCCCTGGTGTGCTGCAATTGTATTACAAACAAAAGCAATTCACAAGAATTATTGTCAGATTTTGCATCAGAAAGATGCATTTATGACAGAAGAAGGGATAAACAACACGACCGTATTCTCTGGGGAATGATGATATTTTAACTCTTGATCTTTTTGTACCCTCACACTGACCCCATGGAGCTGCATTCGGGCAACATGGGCCAACAGAATTATTCTATAAGTAGTTAACTTGCTGGACCTGGAACACCACCATATCAAAAAGTATAAGTAAAACAAATGATATAATAAGATACGGAATGTGCTGTAAAACATTATTAGAGATACCTCTGAGGAGAGAAGAAGGCTGAAGATAAATAGAAATAATAAATGCGCACTGTACTTCTCAGACAGAGTAGGTGCTTATTCCTTCCTGCTTCACAATAAGGAAGTCACCTGTATCACACTCCCACACACCAGTCACCTCTCTATGTTTACCCATTGTTAGAGTCACACCCTATCGTGTTTGTCCTATTCCATAGTCTACACACAGCCCAGCGTTATTATTGTTTTTCTCCAGATTGTGATG